GGACTCCAGGGAGAATTGCCCGTTCAGCATTCTACAACATTCATGACGAAATGGAAGCAAACTCAAAAATCAAGCAGCAGCTGAAGCCATGCGCCAAAGTTGGAAGATCTCTGTGGACAATTGAGGCGAGGAAATGAATCGAATGTGAGAAGCCCTGGGACCCGCACAGTAGACGTGAAGACGGGTCAAAAAAAAATAAGAAATCCTCGTTAATTATATTCAATTACTTTACATTTATTTACGCTGTCTTGTTTGTGCTAATATTTCCAAAGCGCAACATGCTCGACTTCTACATTGTATAATAAACGATTTATTCAAGAGTTCTTCGCCCTCTGTTCTACGTTATTCAACGATTTTTCTTGTTCATCTGGGAAAATCTCCTTTATTGGTCTCAACGAGAAGTACGTCATGTGCCGTTTGTAAAATACGGATCTGAAAGTGATTGGATATAGAAGAGAAGAGCGACAAATACGGATAGAACTGAGAAGCTATATAAAATAGAACAGAAGCTGCTTCGGCGATCTTTCAAGTTGCATGTGAGATAAATGCGTGCGGCAGTGGTTGGAGGCGCCCTGTAACACACACACGTGGGAAACGATCTTCGCGCCCATGGCCCAACAAGCCTTCGATACCTCCGGAATCGGTAAATTGATACCAGACTTGTCTGGGATGATAGCAGCACTGGTTCAACACATCGGTAAGCCACTGTGAGTCATTGTAATGGGCAGATATGCATTCGATCGTCTCCAAACGATGCTTAACGAAGTCGAATGCGTTGCGCATGCCTCAAGGATTGATCGAGGCTGAGAACTTTATCCTTTTATTATTAATATGTAAAAAATATTTAAACAGAAGCTCTAATGTGTAAGAAATTCCCCCCTTAGTCCTATGATTCTGCAGACTCACTTACTAATGAGTACATGCTGCCAATTGGTGCAGTCAAAAGATCGACAACTGACCGTTAAGTTAAAGGAAACTGCGGAATAAAACTTTGTACAAATGATAACCCATTTAAAAGTCGCGGAAGTATTCTAGTTATGGGAAAGTCAGCCCAAAATCTGGTAGACCCGTTATAACCTTATCTACTCGTATTATCAAGTAAACCTATGTGCGCCATATGAAATATTTAGTGAGCAGTAGTTCAACACTTATGGAAATCTCCCATAAAATTGACTTTTCGTACTGAAAAGAATTATTCAACAGTTTTTCAAGTATGTTAATCGCATACCTCCTAAAGCTGCTAGCAGTGCCGTGAAAATAATCCAGAATGCCCAAAACACCGAAACATTCATTGAATCTATAATTGTAGGATTACTATCAGGCAATGTAAAAAGAACAGAAATAGATGGTAAAAAGTTTTAATGGCAGCATATTTACTAGCCTTCTTAAAGGAACCCGAACGAAACAAAGACTTTTCCTAGTTTTTGCGTCTGAAACTTTGTAAGCTCTCCATAGTAATATTCAAAATGAAATCCTCATGTTAACTTTTCATTTATTGCCTATTACAATTTTTCACAGAAGAGTATTATGTGTGATAGAATCACAATGACGCTGAGATATTTGCAGAACTCCGGACCGTAGGTGTCTTCGGTGGGAAACGAACGCGCTAATACCCTTTCCTGGAGATAACGCGTTCACCACCACGCCATGTGGATCCTTCGTTTCGTCTGTCTCTCATCTGGTCCTATCGATCAATGCCATCAGCAATCACCCGTTAAAATCCTCATGTTTAAATCTATTTTGTGCTGCGAAAGCTGAAGTAACAGAATTTACTGTATATATCTTTCTACTTCTGTTCAGCAAACACGAGGTGCTATTTTATTTCTTTATTTACGCACAAGCTGACGTTTCGGCGGATTTCGCCTTCCTCAGAGCCTGGAAGGGTCAACTTGACAGCAATCCATTCGGCCAAACACCTCCATAACCAAAAAGAAAAAACGCTAAACCAAGATTTCAATCACATTTAGCATAGCTCTGCTCACTCACCGCTTTCTATGAGTCTTCCACTGAGTATGTCGCGTGAAGACCGACCGCACCAAATTCACATGGAAGCGTAATGTGCCCCTCCCATCAAAATAACAGGCTTATATACTGTCCAATATCACGCGTGATAACGAGGCATTTCTCCCTGCGGTTCATTTTCGGATTCTTGGAATTAATCCAGAACGCCTCTAGAATTTTGCGCGCTTGTGTTCTCGATTCTTGCGCGAGGATCGTAACCCTTACTTCAAAATCTTCTCCGTTATGTTTCTGCGTGCTATGCGTACCTAGTGGAGTACTTGGCTTACGTTTGCCGACTAGGTGTTCTTTTATACGTACGCAGAGTGGTCTACCCGTTTCGCCAACGTATTCGTCCCCGTACGCTTTACAAGAGATCAGATAGACTGTACCCGAACCATGCAGTCACCGTCTCTACCATTGGGACAAATTATGCAATTTTGCGTTGCACACAGACAGTCGTATAGGCGGTTACGAACTAGCTGGTGCCTTAGATTACTCGGTGGTATTTTGATTATCGTTACCGAATTCTCTAGACTGGCCCTTCTTAAACAGCGTTTTACAGCTGCACTTACTTCATTTGAAATGAAGGGCAGTATAAACGGGACCTTATTGTCGCTAGAGTTATCGTTGGGGTACCTGTGGTTTCCTCTACACCTATCTCGAGCTACGGTTTCGTAGCCATTAAAATGGCTCTTTGCCACGCCGTTCCGGGACTCCTCTCTCTGTTGTCTTCCTGTACACACGCTGGTAGCTGTTCGATACATGTTTCTCTCAAGCGCCCTTTTCGTGTAAGAGGGATGAGAGGAGAGGTAATGAACTAGGATGTTTTTACCACTTGGCTTTCGATACCACTTCGTAATGTAGCCGTTTTCTGATAGGCTAATTTGCACGTTCAGAAATGGAAGCCAGTCTTCTTTTGGTTTCTCTCGGGTGAATTTAATATACTCTGACTGTGTTCAACAACTCGAAACATCTGTCGATTAAACATCTGAGAAAACATCTGTCGATCGAAACATTACGCTTCCATGTGTGTGAATTTGGTGCGGTTGGTCTTCACGCGACATACTCAGTGGAAGACTCATAGAAAGTGGTGAGTGTGCAGAGCTATGCTAAATGTGATTGAAATCTTCGTTTAGCGTTTTCTCTGTTTGGTTATGGAGGTGTTTGGCCGAATGGATTGCTGTCAAGTTGACCCTTCCAGGCTCTGAGGAAGGCGAAATCCGCCAAAACGTCAGCTTGTGCGTAAATAAAGAAATAAAATAGCACCTCGTGTTTGCTGAACAAAAGTAGAAAGATATATTCAATCAATGCCGAGGTTAATAGAAAGTCGGACTTGGGAGAATTCACTGTCTCCTCGGAACATTATCAAAGACTGGTGGGAAGCGTCTATGGCGGTGGTGAAAGGCACACTGCAATGTACACTGCGCCGTTTGCTGCCCCAATCCCACGCACTGGCTCACCGACCATCCATCCTTCTGGTATCATGAAGTTGGTGCCAGATTTGTCTCGGACATAAAAACACTGAATTTACACATCAAAAAACTACTTTAAACCATTGCATTGAGCAGATATGCATTCGGTCACCCTTCGAATATGTGGTGAATCTCTAGTGTACTGTTCAACGGCGGACGGTCTAGTCCTTGTTATCGCTAGAGAATGCATTACCGGCAAAAATGCAAATCATATTGAAGGGTGCAACAGATCAACATCCCGCCTGTACAAAAGAAAAGGGCTAAGAGGGATTCCTCATTCGAGCAGTGCTTCGTTTCACTGGATTCTACTCGATGCAACAACAGACATCTATATCGAGAAAACGACCACCTGTGAATCATCCACGTGGACCAATCCAGTTATAAAAAAGACGAAAGCATCGAAAAGTTAGCCGAAAAATTCATCAACTTCGTGCTGGTCTGATAGTCGAAGAAGCTATTGCTCCAGTCTTCATTTTAAAAAATTACAAAATATTGAATCCTACTTAAGCAGACGCGAGGTTTGTACAGATCTTAGTTGTCGTTGTCGTTGTTTTTGATGTTATTGATCGATGGCTGACGTTTCGGCGATCCGCGCGTAACATCACAGCTCTGAGGAAGGCGAAGTCGCCGAAACGTCAGCCATCGATCAATAGGATCAAAAACAACGACAACGACAACGAAAATTTGTACCAACCTCGCGTCTGCTTAAGAATATCAGTTTATAAGATCACATAAATAAATATATCAACTATCTATGCCGAGGTTTATAGAAAGTCGGTTTTTCGAGTTATTGAATCCTACCTCCGGTTACTTACAAATTTCAATTCTTCTCTTCGAAAGGGCACCGACAATTATTCAGTTTTACTCCGCAGGATTTTCAAGCATTCGATAGCGTTTAATTTTTTGGTGCTGTGGTTAGAGTAGAAATGGGATTTCCAGCTTACTTACTAACCAAGTGGCTCTCAAACCGTTTATGTGCCTGCGCTCATGTGAAACGAAGTACAGAGCCTTAGCACTACCATAAATCAAAAAGATTAAAAAATTCAGTGATTTTATAGGATAATAATGCCATAGGCCAGGTTCTTTTTTAGTCAGGACCTCAATCAAAAGAGTTGGACCAGTACTCGAGCTGCAGATAAGCACTATATTTTTAGCACACCTTTAATTGGACTGTGCTCAGTTTAAGACTTTCGAGGCAATATTTGCGCTATTAACAAAGCTCGGAGGTATTCATCATTTCCAAATGCGCCTTTTATGGCGCTACCCACCTCGGTGATGAAAAATGGTAATATTTCAACCATTAAAATTGCGAAAGACAAAAACGGTGCTAAGTAAAATGAATGAAGAAAGCTAAAGGGTTTCCAGATGCTGTTTCGTTCGTCGCTGATTTACGTTTCTTTGACAAAACACTATACCTCTTACACATCCGATGAAGGTGATTCCATCCCACTTTTAACGCATGAAAAAACAACTGATCTCCTCATTGTTTTTAAGTACAAAAACTGCCATCGTACAGGGAAAATACACCTACACTTTGTGGTGGTAGTCATGTGCTTCCGGAGAGGGTTGTAATGGGAAGTGATAACCGGAATGAGAGAACGTCGTCGACGTCACGGCCACGCATGCCCAAATCCACAGCGTAGTGACATGAGCACCGCAAAGCGTGGGACCTGTGGAATATTCATCGGTAAAATAAGAGAAATTACTGATACTAAAGAGTTGGTAACACTACCGAGAAGTACTGGAGCCAGATTTGACAATGCATGTTCGATAGGATGGCAGTAGATGCTCGTGATGGCTAAACGTTGACTTATAAACACTTCTTCACTGGTATAGTTACGAAGTATGAATGATAAAAAAACATGATTCGTGCTCTTAACTGACTCCTTCACTTATAATATTTCTCATTAAAAGCTTGCTATTACTAAAGTTCTACAGGACAAAAACGAACTCTTTCTCGTCGCTGCCTCCAAAGAAGAAAAGTAGGCAAATGAGATGCGTGGTGAAATAGATGAGAAGAAACTCACAAACTGGAGCCGTCCACTCATGATGAATTTTATGAATATGTTTGTATATTTTTGGATGATGGAACAATCTAAATTTACTCTAGAATCTCAGTTTGCGAAGAAAAGATACCTTAACCCTCAACACTTACCTATGTGTATAGTAAAAGCCGATTTCTTCAATCAGAGTACAAAAAAAAACTTGGGAGAGCACAGTAAGAATTCCAGGTAGTTTTTTCTCAAACGAGACACCTTAAAAGGTTTCAATTAGGTTTAGATCATAATTTTAGTATTTTTAATTACGCGACAGTACCGTAAACGTACTCTTCAGAATTAAACCTAACCGGTCATTTTCATTGGATAATAGAATAAAGCCGTGGTGATCACTCCTGTAATGAATTGATTGAAGAGGACCAATTTGAGAGATTCGATGTACTTCCAGAATGGCGGCTGTAATTCGTAAACCTTATAAATTTTGTAAAAAGCGCTATCTATTAGATTTCAAGCATCGTTCATTCATTTTTCTTATTCATAGTTTTTCTCAGTTAATGTCCTTAATTTAACAATTCATAAATATCGACAGAATTCCACTCATTTAAACAAGGTGATAAGGAGTTTACGACGTAATAGTCTGCTCATTTTGTATAAAATCCTCTTAAGCAAGTCTTAGGTGAATCAGCATCCTGATAAGCTCATACTTTTGATACCAGGGATTTTTAGTGCTAAAAAAGTAAAGGGTAAAACCAAGTCGTCTTTTGGTAAACAAGTGTCCGCATGGCGACATGTATGAAAAAAACGATTAAGCTCTCGGCGTTGATCAATCCCTGAGGGATGTGCCATGCATTCGACTTCATTAAGAATCGTCCGGATGTGATTGAATGCATATCTGGCCTTTACAATAACGCGCGGAGGCCTACCGATGTACCGAACCAGTGCTACTATCCTCGCAGACAAGTGTGGTACCAATTTGCAGACTCCGGAGGGATAGAAGGCTTAGTGGGCTATGGGTGCAGGGCGCCTCCAACCACTTCGCCATACGCGCCCAGAGACAGATATAAAGTGCTGTAATATACGAAGGACAACCCCTGACTATTAAATTTACAAAAACGTCTTTATACCTGTAGATAACAACGAACTATTGGAAAATTTCGAAATTTAGAAAGGAAGCATTGCCTTCCACTTTAATCTTCACAGTGATTTATGACTTTTACCTTTTTATCTCGCTGAATTTTGAATGTTCGGCTCCATTTCATATCAAGCGAATCGATCAAGATGAAAAATGAATTAATAAAGTAGAAGAAGGTATTCACAATTAAGACGCCAGGAGCTGCGCTGAAATGGAACCGAATTTCCTAGAAGCTTAAAGTTCAAAAATACACATGCCAAGAAAAAAAGCGACAAGGACATCGACTTACAGAATAAGTAATTCATTGCCACCACAGGTATCATAGATCCAGCCATATGCGCGCTCCATCACAGCAAATGCTGGCCGATCACTTATCAGTTCACTAGTGATAATGGAATTTTTTAACCAGTAGTATCGAGTTGCTCTCAGCTGTTTTCGATGACACGCCGTGCATATCAATGCGGTTATCAAAACGCCATATATTTAGATGTTCCAACTACAACGTGTAGCAGCCGATCAAAGTTGAGCAGTGGCCACCCATGATATAACATTTGTAATGAAGAAAGGGTTCCAGAAACATACAGATGGAAAGATGTCCGCAGGATAGCCTGGACCAAAATCCAAGATAAATACTCGATACTTGCCACTTGAACGGCCCGTCGTCACTGGTTGCGCGGGTACCATCATAATTTCCATTTTTTCGGATATTTGCTGGTTAAGCCATTAGGGCTCCCTGGAATCGCGATGTCAGCGTGCCCAAAGTATGCCTCAGGTCTTCACCACCACAGTCCCTTGTGCACAGGGAGGTTTGCCACCATGCGAATAATTTAGTACCAAGACGGTGGTGGATCCTGGTATTGGTTTACTCTTAGCTAAGCTTCCTGATGAAAACGCCAAACTCTTTCTCAGCTTAAGAGACTCTGCCAGGTGGATGAATCCCCCTGTATATCGCAGCCCGACATCCAGGAACACCTCCCAGCCACGATAAGGCAGTAAACCGTAGGGTGGAAAGATAAATACCAGCACTAAAACCAGAAAATACTCGAAACTACGATGTTTGCCTTTTATGTGCTGCTTATTAATTTTTCCTATAACAATGTATTATGCGAAATACAACCCTAATGATGTTAAGATATGAGTGGAACTGCAGCTTCAGTTTAACAGGGTTCAATGCCGATTCATACACCCTCGATCATTCCGTTGATAGGTGATTGCTTATAGCACCCGGTGGAAAAAAAGACGGCTGAGGAAAAGACAAAGCAGGGCCTCGGTGATGCAGTGAGTAAATGTGAGCCTGCGGAGGGGAAAACCACGGGTTGGTAGCTCGTCTGGGGTTACGCATTTTGTTCACATTTCAGTATCACTATGGTTGTACTTCCCACAACAGTGAAAAAAAATGTTAGGCTCTAAATAAAAGTTGGGCATCAAAACAAGATCATCAGACGTCGTAGAAAGTGCCGCATTAATTTTTTGAACACGATAAGAATAAATCACAAAGCGTTTGCTACTGGTTGATAACAAAGGAATGTTCCATACATACGACTGCATCAAATATCATTAGAGGTGATCGAATGCATAATCTGGCCTATGCAATGACTGGCGTTCGCCTAGCGCTATATCAGAACAGTGCTGCTATCTCCACTGTTTGGTTCCAATTTGCCAACTTCGGAAGGACGGGAGGCATGAGTCAAAGGCGCTGAATCGAAAGGTCGAGCAACTGTGCAATCCAAGGTACCACTAACCGCTACAAGTGTCTCGTATACATATACATATATATAAAGTATAAGTATATACATAATTTCCGAACGTCCGAACTTGCAAAACAATGCAGACAGGCGATAAAAGAAGATCTCAAAGAGAGAAGAGTAGCAGTGATTGTCTGCTGAGGCTGGGAAAACCATTCGCAAAGCGCATCGAATCTTCGCCAATTATAAGACGAAGATGATTGCACTCCGACAACCAAACGGAACAGTTAGAGAAAGGCAATGGAGAAAATCATTCGCGAATACTACTCGGATCTCTTCGTTAGCCACGTCCATCTTTCGTCATTTGAAATAAAGGAGGATGGATATGTTGTACCACTGGTTCTCCCTTCCGAAATCCGACATGCCATTTCGTCGGTGAAAAGTCGAACAACACCAGGTCAGGATAGGATAGGATCAGAACACCTGATGAACTTTGCGCGCCAGCCCTCGTAAACACACTGGTTCGGCTCTTCACACGCTACCTATCTGAATGCAAGGTCCCTACTCAGTGGAAGACCAGCAGCACCGTGTCATTGTTCAAGAGTTGTGACCTACACGATATAGACAACTATCGCCCAATCTGCTACTGTCTGTCGTCTACAAACTTTTCACTCGAGTCATCCTAAACAGGGTTGGAGAACACTAGACGAAGGACAGCAATGTGAGCAAGCAGGGTTTCGAAAGGATTTAATACGATGGACCACTTCCACATGATAACACGACTCACTGAAGTGTATCGCGAGAGTACAAAGACCACTCTGTCTCACTTTCATCGATTTACAGAAGGCACTTGATTCAATTGAGACAGAAGCAGTCATGGAAGCCCGTGATAGTCAAGTTGTCCCTCCCTACTCGGTGCATAAAGATTCTTCGTGAGCTGTACAAAAATTTCCTAACCAAGGTATCACCATTCCACAACGACTTTAACATTGACGTCAAAGGAGGAGTTAGGCAAGGCGATACCATCTCGCCGAAATTATTTACGGCCACACTCCAGAACGTCATGCGAACATAGGAATGGGATAATGTGGGAGTGAAAATCGATGGTGGGCAGTTACATTATCTTCGCATTGCTGATGATATCGTCCTTATAACACTAAACATTAGCCAAGCGAAACGTATTCTTGACGACTTTGATAAAGCCTGTGGAAAGATTGGTCTTCGATTATATCTCACAAAAACAATGTTCATGAAGAACAAATTGGTTTCGCATGCCTCATTCACGCTCAACGTAACAAATATCTCCGAATGCTCCAGTTATATCTATTTAGGTCGGCAAATCAATATGATGAACGACCTAGCTCCAGAGCTGAGCAGAAGGAAAAGAGCGGCTTGGGGAGCTTTCAAGAGCATCGAGGATATAGTCAAGAAAACAAAAACAGCCGACTCCGAGTACACCTTTTCGACTCAACGGTACTTCCTGCCCTAACGTATGGGTTAGAAACCTTGTCGATGCGCAAGTGGGATGAATGATCATTCAGCGCTATCGAACGCGCAGTCGAGAGGACGATGCTAGGAGTATCCTGTTTCACGTAAGAAGGGAAGAGATCCGAAGTTTCGACTTTCGGCAGCGATCAAAAATCAAAGATGCCGTTCTGTACGCCAAACAGTCGATGATAGTGTGGGCCTGACATGTAATGCGTATGAATGACAACCGATGGACAGGAGCCGTTAGTGACTGGATTCTTCGGGATGACAAACGTATTGCAGGAAGACCACCGACCCGATGGTAAGGGTTGTTTGCAAAGAACCTTGAAGAAAGAAATGATATTCGATGAGTCCCTAGAGCGAGCAGAACCCACTGGGTTGCTTTTGCACGCGACGGGGAAAAATGGAAGATTTGCTGCCGCCCGCTCGAGCCACTGGACGATCAACGGGACTACAGGTGATACAGGTGATATATATATATATATACGCAGATGTGATATAGTGATAGCGATCATCACGAGCACGGTGCGGTTCGATGACTCGCATGGCTCAACAGGCCCCCCATTCTTGCGTGGTCGGGAAATTGGTACCGGACTTGTCCGTAAAGAATCACGCTCTGCAATCCAATTGGGAACATTTTAGCCCGTCTATCTCAGGACTCCAGGGAGAATCAACTCGACGAGCGTTGAAAGGCATTCATGATGAAAAGAAAAGCCTTAAGCAGTAGCTAAAGCCAGAAGAAAAAAGTTGGAAAACTTTCGTGGATGATTGATACGAGGAAAAAAATCGAATGTAAGAATTGCTGGGATTCGCTGGATAGATGTGAAGGTCGGGTCGTATGAAATTAAAAGTAAACACACGTCGGTTTGTTATAACAGACCCAATTTAACAGTTTTCCAATTTTTTGTCCCAAAAAATTATAAATGTTATACAAAGAGAACATTCTTCATAAAATAAAGAGTGTTCTTCATCTCTTTAGTCAACGACCTGAACTCTCTTTGCATTCCTTTGTAATCCTTTGCACCGACCTCTTATCTGTATTAGTTGAGAAGCATCCTAAAAATACTTCTCGGGCAATAACTCGCTTTTCATACTTTTTCCCTCTTCTTTAAACTTCCGATAAAGTAAAAGACAACTTTATTTTTATATAAAAACACGGTTATTTTTAACAAAGATCCTTGTTAACAGCGTGAATGCTTGTGGAAGTCTGAATAGATGCGGTTATTGCTTCCAGAGATTTCCAGAAGGCACTACCCCTCTAAAGTAGAATTGGATGCGTAACTTGTACAGTACACATAATAGAAAACCAAGCTGATAATTGTAATAGCACGAAAGGTTCGTTTCCTTTGGGGAGCGTGTAGTACAGTATTTAGGATAACCTACACTATACTGATGATTTCGCTGGGTTGCATCACACATTTCGACGAAAGCAGGCCCTAAATCGCACTGTACTCAGCTAATTGATGTGAGATTTCTCCGCAAGGACAAAAACACTAACTTGAAAGATCGATAACCCCGCAAGTGAATCAATAGACCAATTCAAACACCTCTGGGAAGCTTAATAAAGCAGATTTGATGAAGGATTCCAAAGATTGATCAATGCCGAAGGTTTACTTTCTCGCACAATAGTGCAGCGCTTTTGTTGCACCTCTCCTGTGACGTACTGCATTTCGATAAGAAGAGCTTAAAAGTGAGCATCAATTGTTAGAAGAAACACTGATAAGATAATGTTTTGTTGGTGGTCTAACGTGCACCTTGACATATCGATAAATTTTAGGATGTGCTATAGAGCTTTAAATACGAAATATGTGGCAGGATTCAGATTTCGGAGTGACCTTAATGTACGGTGGCATGTAACCTTCGACGCCCAGGAACGATTAAGTTAAACGTCAGAAGAAAAAGTGCACAATCAATAGCGATGAAAATAAAAGAAATTCTTTAAATCTTATTTGAAGATGGCGATAACGCTTTGGCAGCACAAAAACGCTTTACGCAAAACGTCTAACGCTCAATTGCTCTTAGAGCCTGGGCAACTCGGCCGCTTCTAAAACACTGCACATTGCAAACAATACAGTGTAGGTGTTTTTTTTCAAAAGGCAATACTTCTCTGACAGCTCGAATACTAGATTTCAGAATTTAACTGGCCTGCAGAAGGGGCTTTTCTATCACCTAAAAATATACATGGCCCTTTTTACTGTCCCAAAGTCGTTCATAATTTCTGGTTTTCTAGAACTCCTTGTAGCTTTTCCGACAAGAATAGGATTTAAAGAATAGGAAGCCTAGCAGATTAATAAAGGTTACTTTGCCTATCGAAAGGTGCACAGGCTAGAACATTAAACAGAATTAAAACACGATCTGCTTCTCATAGGGTGTAACAATGTAGAAGATGTGCAGGCAATGTGGAATGGTCCGTGCTTCTGGTTAGAGAATATTGGAGAGTGAGAAGGAAGGATAAAATGGAGGTGTTGATGATTCCCTAACAGTGTATTGTCTCATAATCACCAGGTCTTCGGTGACACTCAGCCAATGGATACCACACGATTTTCGTTTCTGTGCTAAGAACTGATAGATTTTCATGCATTTATCATAGCAGACATTTCGGAGGCAACTGTGGATCAAAACAGCAGGTATACAGAAAGATGCGTCGTAAGAAGGGACATGTGTGTTTACAACGTGAAAGGATTCATCGAGCTTCACTTTAAAATCAACATTGCTGGCGTGCAGCAGTTTAAGAATATTGGAGTGCCAGTCCTGCTCTTGCCTCAAGTTCTATTTCATTTTAATGAAACCTATTCCGCTTATTTTTGTGCGAAAGCACTTTTCTCGACTACAATTCGTCTACTGGACTTTTTTCTTGATGTAAACTAAAGGATGAAAGGATAATGCTTTCGGCGTTGATTAATCTTTGAGGCATGGCTATGCAGTCGATTTCATTAAGCATGGTTTGGAGGCGATTGAATGCATATCTGGCCATTACGGTAACTCACGGAGGTCAACCGATGGTCGAGCCAGTGCTGTTAACATCCCATACAAGTCTGGTACCAATTTGCCGACCCGGAAGAGATGGAAGGCTTGGTTGGCCATGGGTGCGGAGATCGATTCCACGTGCGTATTGCAGGGCGCCTCCGACCACTGCGCCACACGCGCCTTGGATGTGAACTAAGACGAAAAATTAGGCAATTCTATGTTATGAAAAAAAACAGATTTCAAGACTTATTGGAATTCAACATCAATTTCGCCCGTAACGCATTGTTTGACAGGAAAGAGAAGTGCAAAAATACACTGCTACTCGAATGTTCGGAACCACCGTAGCACATGGAGACTCGCGTATATTGACGAATCTGTTGCATCATTCATAGGCAGGGCCGTTTCCCTCATCTTCTACGAAAGAGATGAGTGCAGTTTCAAGTTAAGAAAATTGCGACCAATATGTGGCTGAGCAAAGAGGATTGTAGTGTACACCGCTAGCGATCTCTCCACAAGTGAGATGCGACTTAGAATTAGTCATGATTTCTTAGACTTAGACTTAGCTTTAATTGCCACGATAAGGAAAGGCATCCCTATGTCAATAAAAACTACAGAAACCTTCTCCGAGAACCTAGTTCAAAGAAGTGTTCATCTTTTTCGCATGCATCGGGAGAACAGAGATCTGCCAGCAGGTTATCCACCTAAATGTGAAATAGAATGAAAGATAGCAGAGCGGATTTGAGTGATGAAGTAGAAAGTTGACAGCCACGCTGTTATGACGGGCAGAGCCTATTATGTGACCCTTCCCGAAACGGTACGTGTAGAGCTGAGGTAGGGGGCGCCTTGCAAAACACACGGGATGCAACGGGATCCCTGCGCAACAGGACCGCCAAGCCCTCCATCTCGTCAGGGTCGGCAAGTTTGGTATAAGACATGTTTGGGAGGATAGCACCACTGCCTCGATACATCGGTAATCACCGCGAGTCGTTGTAAATGCGAGATATGCATTCAACCACCTGCGATGCTTAATGAAATAGAATGCATCGCGCATTCCTTAGTGATTGATCAGCTCCTGGACCTTAATCCCTTATCCTCCCCCAACTCTTCGATATCACAAGTTATTGAGAACTACAGACACTGGAAGCTTTTAGTGAATACAAATTTGAGCATTGTCATTATAAGTTACTACATCATTTTCTCATGAGTGACAGAGAAGTGCGAAAATATTCGCTGAAGCACTGAAAGTCTACTCGCGTTGCATTGGGAAAAGGAGTGCTTCGCCAACGTTAACTTTTCATTTCGTTGAAGAAAGTGACCCCAGTAGACAGGCAACGTGTTACGAGGCAGTGACGTGACTTTACGACTGCGAAACATAATGGGCACGTTATCAGTAGATGCAGTCGTTTTTTCCCGAATGTTATGTTTGTGTTGGTTAGTTCGTGTGGTAGTTGGTTCGCTTCGTTTGGCCTGACACACGGGACTTTTTTAGGTGCCGCAAACCGTAATCCTAAATCCGTGTAATTAAACCGCCGATGTCAATAACAACGCAGTAATGATCATATAACAATACCAAAACAATGCATGCAACAAGACGATAACGGTGGTGAATGAGCGGTGGCAAGATAAAGAGCGAGTGGTGAAACTTGAGGAAATAGAGCAGCTCTGCCGCAGGTTGGCGACGTAATATGGTACGCAGGTGTAATGTGAAATAACAGTGGTATAGGACGTTCACATATTAAAACAGGCCCGTAGGGTTATAGTAACGTTAGCTTACAGTAACAGTGCGATGAATTTAGCATATTAAAGCTACATGTAAGTTTGTAAAAACATTGCGACGAGGTTAACTATTAAGGAGTATATGTAAGCTCGTGATTATTTACATTACTTTTGATAGCTGGGCGCGTGTGGCGTAGTGGTCGGAGGCGCTCTGCACCCGTGGCCCACCAAGCCTTCCATCCCTCCGGTGTCGGCAAATTGGTGCCAGACTTGTCTAGGAAGATAGCAGCACTGGTTCGATGCATAAGTAGGCCACTGAGAGTCATTGTGAAGGCCAGATGTGCATTCAATCACCTTCAAACGTTGCCTAATGAAGTCGAAAACATGGCGCATCTCTCAGCAATTGGTCACGCCGAGAGCTTCATTCTTTTATTTTATAATAACCGCACAGTGGGCATGATGTGTTAAGAGGTACACTGAAGTAGAATGAAGTTAACCTACAATAGCGGCTACGTGCACGTAGAGTTAACAATTGAGTTTTTCTAAATGGAGTGAAGCAGTAAGACAGATATATGATGACTGTAAGGATGTTAACCGAACGAAATGGATAATGATGTAAACGATATGACTAGGATACAGGCAAATGATGCTACCAATGTGTCAATGCAATGGATTGGATCGCAGAGTCGAGCCACCAGGCGTTGTTGCCATTACCGTTAGCGTTCCCGATGGTTATGGAGAAGTAACAATGCACGAAAAGCAGGCAGGTTCTGGATCACGTCATTTGAAATTCTGATGCTTACATAATAACGGTAAATAATGTTGAGAGCAAGCGCTTCCTATAACAACGAAACTGATGATAAAGTGGAAACTATACCCTACAAGGCGGGATTTGAACATCGATCAAAGAAAGTGTACACGTTCCGTACGTATTGCAACTCTGAAGTGGAAATTGCATATTTGTGAAAGTTGTCGAATGTAGGCAAGTACAGAAGCGACGATCTCTTCGGTGCTGATCAGTCCATGAGGTATGTGTCATGTATCCAGCTTCATCTATCATTGTTAGGGATGACTAAGTGTATGCGCGGCCTACACAATGACTTGCGATGGTATCCTGAGTCAGTGCTTCTACCCTTCCAGACAAATCAGTCAATAATTTCAGATTCTGGAAAAGTTGCAAGGCATGAAAACCCCTGGACCAGAGATACAACCGGCGACCACGTCTATATTGTCTTGTACCACTAGCGACTCAACCATGCGCCCCACCATTTGTAGGCAGGAACTACGACAAAAACTGTTTAACTGATGGATAGCCTTAATTTTTCTACCTTGAACTAATGCAGCTCGAAACAGATGTCGTTAGAAAAACCATTAGAATGTTCGTTTCTTTTCTTATGGTATACGAGCACTCACAGAAGTACACAAGTCTCCAATGAAATTCTCATTTTGTAGAGACCGAAAAGAACTTTCTTCCTCTATACTAGTGATAACTAGCAACCACGTTATTCAATAAACGAGACTGCGTTGGACACGATGCCATTTACGAATTCAGTGGTATTTGCGGTCGTCTGACTTGCGTTGAGTGTTTTAAATAGGGGAAGCATAATCTAACTCTTTTATTTACTGCCTTTTTCTTCTTAATGGCAGGGTATGTTGTGAAATATAACTCGTGTGAAGTGCTGAGATATTTGCAAAACTCCGGACCACAGGTGTATGCAGTGGGGAACGAACACGCGCTGTTCTCCTTACCGGGGAGCAGCGCACTTCACCACTACACCATCCGGTTCATACGAGTTATAATCCACTCAGAGTTCGCTCTCGTTGTGCACACTGCTGCAGGAATTGCTTCATATCAGGTATATAAAACAGATTTATCGAATGACGCCATCAACTGTTCCTGCTCAAAGAGGTGTAGCAACCTAATCAACGATTATTTCAATTAAGAATTTAAGCCACTTTAGCATTATTTGTATTATTTCAAAAGCAAACATTTCTTTGACCTCAGCATGGCTAATCAATGTGTTTTCCTTCATCGATAAGCTTACACGAAGTTGGTAAAAAGGAGTTTATTCCGTTGACGCCACGATATCCTTGTATTTCTCAAAGCCAGATTCATCCGAATCTACTGTCCACAGATCTTCCTTCTTCCCATGTGAGTCTTCGTGATCGTATCGAGACGAATCCAGTGGAGCACCGCACCAGTGAGGAAGCTCACTGGTCAGTGCTTCTTTGTGCAAGGCGATTATTGTTGGTAGTGATTGTCGGTTTATAATCATTTATTTTTCTTCGGAAAATACATTCTGCAGTTTCCAGGATCGACCTTCTATTAGCCTCGGCATTGGAATATGAATGTGTCGTTTTCTTGTTCAACAATCGAGAGGTTTTTAAACAGCATACGTTTACTTCCATAGAAAAACAGAATACAATACAACACTAACTGACGTTTCGGCAGTATCGCCTTCTTCAGAGCCTGGAAGGGTATACTGATATACAATCTACTAGGCCAAACGTTTCAATAACACTTACAAAAAGACGAAGAACTCTCTGGTAATTACATAATCAACAACTTCTTGAAAAACCCACCGCTTTCTCGTGACTTCCAGTGAGAAAGTTTAGAACAGCTGATTATAGTCGCATATGGTTGACGACTGCACCATTCCACATCAAAAATCGATGCGAACATACGGGTCAGGTCGCGCATGACCTCCGGGCATTCATCCCTGCTATTCATTGTAGGGCTTTTGACATTTATCCAAAAAGCCTCAAGAGGTTTTCGCGCAGGTGTTTTATTCTCCTGTGCAAGGATATTGACTTTCACTTCAAAATCGTCTCCGCTATGCTTTTGTATCCTATGCGTGCCTAGTGGGGTGCTTCGTCTTAGTTTTCGTTTGCCATCCAGGTGTTCTTTTATACGGATACACAAAGGTCTGCCCGTTTCGCCAATATATTCATCTCCGCAATTATTACAAGAGATCAGGTATATCGTACCTGAACCCATGCAATCACCGTCCCTGCCGTAAGGGCAAATTACGCAATTTGTTGTTTCACACAGACGGTCATACAGGCGGTTGCGAACTAATTGGCGACTTAGAGTAGCCGGTGGTATTTCAACTATCGCTACCGATTCCTCTAGACCTGCCCTTCTTAAGCATCGTTTTATAGCTACGCTTACTTCATCGCTTATAAAAGGCAACACAAACGGGATTTTCTTTGGGTTAAGTGTTTCGCGTGGGCGCGTCGTTCTCCTTGTAAACTTATCTCGTGGGGTTACTATTTCGTAGCCATTGGAGATGGCTATTTGCCGAGCCAAGTCGCGCGATTCTTCCTTTAGTTCCCTGGTAGTGCACACAGAGATGGCTGTTCGAAACATGTTTCTCACAATCGCCCTCTTTGTGTGTGAAGGGTGGGAAGAAAGGAAATGGACAAGGATGTTCTTGTTACTTGGCTTTCGATACCACTTTGTCAGGTAACCGCTACTTGATAGGTTTATTTGGACATCCAAAAACGGAAGCCAGTTTTTTCTCGGTTTCTCCCGGGTAAACTTTATGTACTCAGACTGCTCGTTCAATAATTCAAAGCATTTGTCCATCTCCTCCTGCGTAGAGAAGACGACAAAACAATCATCTACATATCTGCAGTAGAGTAGTGGCCGGAGATCGAGAACAGCGGCTTCTATCCTAGACATAAACACAATGGCAAGGCTTGGTGACAGTCGCTGTCCCATTGCCAACCCCCTTATTTGCGCGAAATATTTCCCAGACCGTCTGAAAATCGAGCAGTTTAGGCACTCCTTTAAGAGAGCCATTAGCTGCTGGATAGACAAGCCATGCATATTTATTCCTCCTTCATGTTCAAAAAGAAGTTCGTAGATGGCTTGCATTGCGGAGTCATTCGATACGTTGGTGTACAGCGCGGTAACGTCGAAAGACTCCATCACGTACGCGTTATTAGGAGACGCGTTGCGTAGACGTTCTAGGAACATTTGGGTGTTTGTGAGGTGAACTGGAATGTGATTAAGCAACTAGGTAAGTACCAGGCTTAAAAACCATGTTGTTCTATCCGTTGGCCCGTCTACACAGCTGACGATAGGTCTAACCTTAAATGGTGACGGATTGATTGACGCATGATCATCAGGTGATACCAACTTATGTGTTTTAATAAGTAGGTACAGGACGGGACCCCACGAGATAAGTTTACAAGGAGAACGACGCGCCCACGCGAAACACTTGACCCAAAGAAAATCCCGTTTGTGTTGCCTTTTATAAGCGATGAAGTAAGCGTAGCTATAAAACGATGCTTAAGAAGGGCAGGTCTAGAGGAATCGGTAGCGATAGTTGAAATACCACCGGCTACTCTAAATCGCCAATTAGTTCGCAACCGCCTGTATGACCGTCTGTGTGAAACAACAAATTGCGTAATTTGCCCTTACGGCAGGGACGATGATTGCATGAGTTCAGGTACGATATAACTGATCTCTTGTAATAATTGCGGAGATGAACATATTGGCGAAACGGGCAGACCTTTGTGTATCCGTATAAGAGAACACCTAGATGGGAAACGAAAACTAAGACGAATCACCCCACTAGGCACGCATAGGATACAAAAGCATAGCGGAGACGATTTTGAAGTAAAAGTCAATATCCTTGCACAGGAGTCCAAAACACCAGCGCGAAAACTCCTTGAGGCTTTCTGGATAAATGCCAAAAACCCTACAATGAATAGCAGGGANATCCGTATAAGAGAACACCTAGATGGGAAACGAAAACTAAGACGAATCACCCCACTAGGCACGCATAGGATACAAAAGCATAGCGGAGACGATTTTGAAGTAAAAGTCAATATCCTTGCACAGGAGTCCAAAACACCAGCGCGAAAACTCCTTGAGGCTTTCTGGATAAATGCCAAAAACCCTACAATGAATAGCAGGGATGAATGCCCGGAGGTCATACGCGACCTGATCCCGTATGGTCTCATCAATTCCTGTTGTGGGATGGTGCAGTCGTCAACCACATGCGACTACAATCAGCTGTTCTAAACTTCCTCATTGGAAGTCACGAAAAAGCGGTGAGTTTTTTTTTCGAGTAGTTGTTGATCAGGTAATTACCGGAGAGTTCTTCGTCTTTTTGTAAGTGTTATTGAAGCGTTTGGCCTAGTAGATTGTATATCAGCATACCCTTCCAGGCTCTGAAGAAGGCGATACTGCCGAAACGTCAGCTAACGTTGTATTGTATTGTGTTTTTCTATGGAAGTAAATGTATGCTGTTTAAAAGCCTCGTGATTGCTGAACAAGAAAACGACACATTCACATTCTGCAGTAGTCGCCCTCATTATTGGGTAGCACAAAGGGGAATAATATTTTAAAAACGACTTTCCTTTAACATCTGTGTGATATAATCGACATGTATTCCTTCACTGAGTCGTTTATCAACCTCTTGTTAGCTTATGAATAAAAGGAAAATTGATGGTCAGTCATACCGAAGTTAAACAAATGTCGGTTTTGAAATAATGTCACAATCCATTAGGTCAATTGCTAAAACAAGCTTAGGCAGAAAATTCGAAAATCTACTAAATCAGCTCTAATAAAAAAAAGACCGTTCTCCAAAGCAGCAAAAGTAAAATTAAAGTTCACAACGTGCTAGAAAAGTCAAGGGTAATCACAGTATTAGACGTAGCGACACTACCTGATGGCGCGCTTCTCCTATTAAAATTGGGTTCACGTTTTTCACCGGCTCAGCCCCTTTCTGAAAAAACTCTGTGTTGGATTGCATGTGGTTTGAACGAGCTTCAACACGAACTCCGTTACAAAGCTTGACTGAGAGTGTTAAACAAAAATGAAAAACAAGAAGCGGGGGTGTTACCACCGCCTTCTTTTCCTTAAGCGTTCTTTAACACCAAGACTCTGATGAAGCACATCTCGATGCACCATGTATTCGACCTCATTCAGCATCTTTGGAGAAGATTCAACGCGTATCTGGCCTATACAGTGGTTGGCAGTGGTGTCATCGTTTTTTTTTTATATCGTTGTATCAAGCCAGTGCTGCGATCCTCCCAGACATGTCTGGTACCAATGCGCCGGCTCCGGAGAGACGGAAGGCTTGGTGAGCCTGGAGCAAGGAGATCGCTTCCACGTGTATTGGAGGTGCCTCTAACCACTGCGCTACGCGATCGCCTCCTACCTCACAGTATCCCAGAAATATAGTATGCGACAGTTTCGCGAAATAATAAGTCAAAAACTGTTAGACTATCAGTTAGTGATATGTGAAGAAAGTTTGTAGTGGTTCCTCCTCTGTCAAAGGCTGAGATAACAGAAAAACATCTTGAAGACGGTTCGCTTCCTCTCTCCTCATCTGAAGAAAAAGCAAAAGTCAATACCGATAATTGAACGCGGAATGGGTCAAAGTGGCACGCGCGGTAGGTGTAAAACCATCTGTGATTTCACACCTAGAACTGGATTACCAGCAAGCCACGTCTTACAATTACATATCAAAACTCATAAAATTTCATTCACCGATGATCTGTCGTCTACCAACGCCAACAATGAAGCGTAAAACTCCTGAAATGTTTTGGATGAATGCCTACTGCAGGTTTCCGTGTTTGCCTTTGCTGCCTAGAGTGCAGTGGCGCTCTGCCCTCATCTTTGCAAAAATTGCTGAAAAAATTGCCAAACGAAATTAAATTGTTTTCCTTCCTTCCTTCCAGTAATCATTTTCTTATGAGGAAAATGTATATAATAAGTGGATATTCGGCCCACTTAGGTATATTTTATTCTTTTCTTTTTTTCCTCGAATACTTGAAGCTTAGTGGGAGCTCGTGTTTTGTCCTATCCTTCAGAACCGAAGATGTCACTGTGTTCGTAATGCAACGGTTCACCAACCAAACGTCCTTAATACTCTTGACTGCAAATCATCAGGAGAATAAGCGATGGAGCCCTTATCATCCCAGGGATTTCATGATCCATAATTGTTGCGTCGCGCAAGCACATCGTCCAGTTCACATTATACACTCTTCCTGCTGATGATATGGACAATTTATGATGACAGTTACCAGCAACATTATTGCAAAGGCAGGACGACATATGAACGAAATACAGATGCTTTTTACCGGATAATTAACCTACTGCCCCTCGGGCAAAAAATGCCTTCAAGCCATCACGTCCCATAACGCAGTTATCTGTCTTTGTAGAGAATTTTCTCATATAGGCAAGTTGAATTCTTTTACAGCGACTGTGATTACCACGACAGATGGTAATGATGCAATTAGCCCAATGACCGCACGCTCAAGGACTATGTAACAAGTTGAACTTAAGTGGGTAATGTTGATTATCCTTAAAAGACGTGTGGGCGATGCAATGAGATAGCTATTAACATCAATCGTTGTTACCGTTCATGTATAAGGTGGAAGCCCTATTTCTCGATCGCCAGCCCTTACTCTGCTTTCGATACATGGACGAACGACTGCTTCATCGCCTGCTTCACAGAAGAACAGGTGGATGAGCGCTTTGAAATGTGAAATGGACAGTCAGAGTATAAAAAAATCACACCGGAAAACCAACTGAGAACTGGCTTCTCTTCTTAAATATCCATTTAAAGATTTCAGAAAGTGGCTATATAACAAAATAGTATTGTAAGCCAAGTAGTAAAAATACACTACTTCACTACCTTTCCTTTCATTCTTCAGAAATAAAGAAAGGTGTCATCGAAAATATTCACCGAACAGCTAAAAATACGAGCACAGGAGAAGAGGAAAGGAAGGAATCGACAAATTTAGGACGAAAAATAGCCACTTCTAATGGCTACGAAGCAGAAGCCACTCGGTTCAGACAAAAAGGTAAATGTTCCACAAAATAACTTTTCGAACCTAAGTAAGACACCTTTAAATTACTCTTCACATTAAGCGAAATAAGTAACGCCATTAAAAGGTGTCCCAAAATTAGTGGTCTTGAAAATTATGAGCCGGCTATTGACCTCCTATCTAATACCCTAAGCCGTCAATTAATTTGTAGTTACCTTTATGGTCGTTTGTGCAGCTCAGAAAACTGTGTGGTTTAAATCACAATGTTTTAACGTTTTGTTTTCTGCCTTCTATAATTTTCATGGCAGGTTACTAAGCGAAATACAACCACAATGTTGCTGAGATATTTGCAAAACTCTGGACCGCAGGTGTCTATGGTGGGGAACGAACGCGAGAGAGAGACGAGAAGAGACTGAGAGACGTGCGAAACAAAGGACCCGCATGGTGTGGTGGTGAACGCGTTACTCCCCGGAAAGGATAATAGCGCGTTCGTTCCCCACCATAGACACCTGCGGTCCAGAGTTTTGCAAATATCTCAGCAACATTGTGGTTGTATTTCGCTTAGTAACCTGCCATGAAAATTATAGAAGGCAGAAAACAAAACGTTAAAACATTGTGATTTCAACTACAGCCATAGCTTAACTGGGTTCTATGCCGATTTGCGCTCCCCAGATCAACCCCGCTGACGGGTGATTGCTGTGGCAAAAATGATCGATAGAAATAGCTGAGAGACGTGCGAAACAAAGGACCCGCATGGTGTGGTGGTGAACGCGTTACTCCCCGGAAAGGATAATAGCGCGTTCGTTCCCCACCATAGACACCTGCGGTCCAGAGTTTTGCAAATATCTCAGCAACATTGTGACTGTGTGGTTTGTCCTAACGGGAGAGACGGGATTGCATGAGCTCAGGTACCAATATCTCGACCTCGTGTAAGTCAAGCAGTGAGGAACACATTGAAGAAACGGGTAGACCGCCTTTTGTCCACCTAAGAGAACACCCAGATGGGATAGTCAAATTTCGTCAAAGCACTATTCTAGTTACACATAGGGCACAAAAGCTCAGTGGTGATGATTTTGAAGTGAATGTCCGGGTCGTAGCTCAAGAATGGAAAACATCAGCGCTCGAGACTCTTGAGGCGTTATGGATAAATTTCAAAAATCCAAAGATTAACCGGAAAGACGAATACCTCACTATCATACGTGTCCTAGCGCCTTATTTGAAAATAATGTTTTGACCCCTGGGTGAATTTCACTCGCCGTACCACGTGAAAACCATACACAAACAATCCCACTCGTAACAACAGGTTGAATTAATGATTAATTACGATTACGAATTAATTACGATTTTAATGATTACGGCGCTTATTTAAAAGCATAATCTATATTAATTCTATAGATATTTTACTGAATATGAGACTACTGTTACACTAAATACGTCAAAGCTGTGAGAACGGGAAATCCTCGAAAGGTCAGCCATTAATCACCATCATCAATAACATCGACAACAACAACAACGACAATAACAACAACAATAACAACAACAACAACAACAACATCGACAAGAACAACAACATCAACAACAACAGCAACATCGACAGCAACAACAACATCGACAACAACGACAATATCGACAACAACAACATCGACAACTACAGCAACAACAGCAACAACGTTCTCTTCTCGTTCAGTTGACGTTCTCATAACCTTGTCGGTTGACTTGATCGTCGGACACCATGAACGGCACTATTTCCAAGCGGACCTTCGTTTACTTTACTCAATGAGTCAATTATACTGCGATAGAAACCTTCAATTACATCTTCCTCTTCTTAATTAGTTGTTTGGTTAGTATAGCTCTCCATTGCAGTGGTTGCCTTCATTACAGCTTACGAAACATCCATTATTTGGTGAGTATGGTTTTCCATCCTCGTGGTTTTCTCCTTAATTGTTCACAATCCATTCAGTTGTTATTTCATCCCAGCCGATATCGCGTGAGATTAGTGTAATGGTGTATGAATTGGATTAAAGTAAGTGTAGTTCTGTGTGTTTGATGTTCGACACTTCACGAAAGGAGGTAGAGCTTGATCGTTGTGCTTAGTGACCAATTACTGAGTTTGAATGGAGATATTTTAAACGCCTGAAGTGAGAAGGGCCCAACTCAACTCATCTGGCACTTCATCGCGCTTGTCCACTCGAAGAAGGCAGAGCTTCAGAAGACGAGAAAAAACCAAGATGAGTTTCCTTTATGTAAGATTAACGGATAACGATTTACCCTAAGTGATTGTTTGCTTTTAAAGGAGTCGAAATCGTTGTCGACAAATGCAGCCATAACAGACGACGCCAATGAAGTTGTTACAACAAATAGCAATGAGGCTGGTTTCAGTTTGTTCATTATTATTGTTCTTCCAAAAATATAGTGCAGAACGAGTGTTTATTACGCTGGTTTTCGAAGAAATAATGAAATTTGGTTGTAGACCTTGAATCACTGCAAGTTGTAGATCCACTTACTCATTATCCTTGTTGTCATTAATAAGCTTTAATATTGTTTCTTCTTAACCATTAGAGTGATATCCGTGTGGACTCTGCAGAATCCTTCGGCAATCTTAAATGATTTAGGTAAATTCCGGTTCTCAAAAGAGATGGAAATATAAATTTCATATAGACTGTTCATTACTGTTCGTTTAAGGTTCGCACCGGCAAAGTAAATAAGACGATGGGTTCGGGATTCGGTCGAACATCAAGTCTCACAAAATCTCAATCAAATACTTCTGTTGGTCAGGCGGATTTTCACCGACTCGTCTGAAACAATTTCGATCCTAAAGCAATAGTTAGCACCGCTTTGCATCAAATGCAGAAGGTCCCAGAATTTCCGATCGCTGGCGAGTTTGCACAATTCTAGAAAGCAGATGCGTTTATGTAATCAATCTCATGAATAAGAAGCGGAATGAACTATTTTGCTCGCTAAATTAATGCTGCTAATTACTCCATCAAATTCCTAGTTAATTTTCTAAACAGATTCAACTTCTGGAACCAGTTTGGTTCATTAGACATTGCTTGATGGTGTGACGCTCAACAAAATGTGTTGTAACTGTGAAGTTATGTAAGAATTGTTGAATTGATTTGTGTGTTTATATGATATTCCGAACACGTACAATCTAAGCAAAAGTAAACTAACCATGGTTAGCGAATCCCAAGTGAAGCTGTCACTTGTTCATTTGATCTATTTCCATTTTGTTTTGTTATTTTCTGGCTAGTAAGCCATGGTAATTAAACACATTCGTCGTATGAATAGATGAAGAGTGCAAGTCCTTTGTCTCTATTATATCTATTTTAATGTCGAGCACTTATTTCGTTTGGTCGGGAACTGAAGGTTTTTCTATTCGCTAACAATATCGACACAGGTGGGTTTTCTGTTCCCCTCGTGGACTTTCTGCCTCTCATGAACTTTCTGCTGAGTCTAAGCAGTGGAGAAATAGATAAGTCTGGGTCGTGGGATCTCTGTAACAAGTTTTTTGTTCATCTTCTTATTATATAACGAAGGTAAATTTAATCGGAAGCCTTTTTTCGAATTTTCAGTGTAAGGGTTTCTAGTTGGGATCTTCGAAAATAAGTGAAATATGGGGCGTTCTTATTACTACTCAATGTTTAGAAAGAGTTTAAGCATTGCCGCTATTTACGTGATACCGTCGCTTTCATTGTTAGTGTTAGGAATGCTCACGAATTAGAGAGTGCTTTGTCGACCGAGGAAGTGGACAATTGTTGCGCTAAAGCAACACCTGGATTTGAAGTTGGCCCTTCTCACCTAACACAATCAAAGAAATTGTTGTTCTCTCCATTTTTAATAAGAATTGCAACAGTAGGATCCGCATAAGATTCGCTAATGGCGAGTGCTCATCACTACGATAGAGATGAAGTTCATGACCAGATTTGGATTAGTTGATAGTCTCATAGAGTTCATCTGCCATCGTCTCAGTGATGTCTAAACGACATTTTCGGAAACACGGGACGATCATTGACCGCTGTAAGACGCGGAACACCGTTCTCATCACACAGAAGAATTTTATTGAATCACAATAATGCTATCGTTCTGCTGTAATCACGATGCACATCTATCACAAACTGAAACCACATGTTATTTTCAAAGGCTGGTCTAAATATTCTCCTGTTCACATGAATCTTATCGGATTTTTTGCTTTAAATGTTGTTCCTGTGGATGCAATAGAGTGGTCATAAGTGCCATGCCATCCACAGTCGTCATTTGTTCGACCCTTATTCTTGGGTTAATCAATCACACTATCTATGTTGTAGAAATGATAGAAATGATTGCTTGATAGAATGGAAACATCGAATTGATACATGGATACCACTCAATGGGTCGTACTCAATCGCATGAATGTGCTTCGAATGGGGTTGGAATTGGTCAATGCCGAACGGCACTGTCATCTACTGGGAAGCCAAAAACGATAAGCTGGTCAAAAGAAAAAAAGCGTTTAAGTGAAATAGACAGTTTCTCTAGAAATGGAATAAGTGCATTCTCTTTTTTGCCGATGTGCTTTGTGCTGAGTTCATTTGTAGCATTCTAGAGCTGATCTTACTGAGTGATGCAGGAAAAAATCACGAATATATGCCAATATATCTTATATAATATATATCTTGAACTATACTTGAACAATCTCAAGAACACTAAGTTTCATGGTCACCAATAATCGTCTTTCTTTGGGTTGTCCATTGTTCTCAATGTTGCTCTTCTTGGAATTTCTTTTCGACCTATCATATAATTTTCTCGATCTGCTACATATCATCAATTGCATGACAGGATGTATAATAGACATTCCCTGCGTATGAACTTAAGTGTCTCATTATTTCGGCATCGGCGGCGGAACGAGACGGTGTTTGTCATCACTAAGGGCTCGCTAAGCCAATGGGCTCAGATCTTTGCTTTGTTCTAGACGAGGGTTCACTCGGTATCTCGAATACACAGTATACGGTAGCCCGACTACGTCGAATTTGCCAATAACAAGCATAGTCTGGTTGATATGTAATCCACGAAAACAACACAGTGTCTACGTTTGGATCGAAGCCGGCCAATATTCGCGTTCGGATACGATTAAAAAGTCAGGAATCAGTCAAGAAAGTCCGTAGGAAATGATTATCGCACACATAAGCAAGAACATTACCAACAAGAATAAGAATAAAAATCACGCTGATACCTGAACTGTTTGTGAAGGCGAGCTGTTGAGGCTATTGAAGTCCAGCAAACTTCAAAAAAACAAAAAAAGACAAAGGCAAACAAAGGAAAACAAACAAACAAACGAAACAAAGAATGTAGCAACACTATCTGAAGTCACAGCGATAAACGTAGCTATAGTGGTTGTAATCGCTTGCATTCTTTGTAGATCCAGCGTGCCCTTAGCATCCGATTTGAATCAGTTTAGCTAATGGCATCGAAAGTACCAACAATTCTTATCAGACAAGTAATCAAATTCGCAGCTTGCGTTCGTTGCTTATGTACATCCGTTATACCTAGTTTACTATCTGCAGGAGCGAATTTCTACCCTGGAAGCTACTTAGTGAGGATGCTAGGTGAAGAGATGACGCAGCATCGTGAGGAAAATTTCCCTGCACAATTCGAGCTGAAACAAATAGTTCAACAAATGTATACAGCTTCAACAAGTGTGTACAACTCAATGTAAAAAGCTGGATAACATTTTTTATAACATCGGATTTCATGGCAATAAAACTCTTTGTTAACTTACTTCTTGATATTTGAGTGGCCCGTCGTCACTTGTGCGAGCCCCAGTATAATCTCCATTTTTCGGAGATTTGCTGGTTAAGCCATTCTGATTCTCTGAAATCTCGAGGTCAGCCTGGCCAAAGTCTGTCCCAGGTCTTCACCACCACAGGGAGTCATAGCCCTTGCGGATCAGAGGCAGAATAGCCACAATGCGCCTATGATATCAGGACGGTGGTGAATCCTGGTACTGATTTACACTCAGCTAGGCTTCCTGATGGAAACGCCGGACTCCTTTTCAGATTGGGAGACTCTGCCGCGGGGATGAATCCCTTATACATCGCGGCCGGACACTCAGGAACACCTCCCAGCCACGATTTGGAGGGTGCAGAAATGTACATTTATAAATGCAGTATTGATGTAAATTGCTTTTAAGAAACATCAGTGTTCACGATGTCATTTTCGCCTTCCATGTACAGCTTCATATTCACAAACTTCTAGCTCTACGGTGTAAACTCTTGCTCTTACGACAGCAATTTACAAATACAGATTTCCTATATTGACCGCAACCACTTCCGACCTTTCGCTGCGTATGAAGTCAGATGATGAAGCAGATATTTAAATGACCAGTCTTCACTCTTCGTAAGGTCCTATAATATTCCTTTTATTGGTTTCACTGTCTCTCGAAATCAATCGCCAAGGACAGAAGTTTTTGAGTTAACGTATGGGATTGTATGGCAACTGAGCACCTGTCATCTTCTCACTCTATTGAGGTGTAAAATGAATGCGTATCATGACTTACGGAATCCTGGAATATTCGTGCCTGAGCGCTCCGAGGAATTAAGAGAAGGTGACAGTACCTCCTTGCCGATCGGTAGCCATTACCAGGAAGAATTTTCACGGGTTCCTTAATTTGCGGTCATCACAAGATGAGAAAAATAGCTACACGCATGTCGTCCTCATGATCAGGTAA